AAAAAAAAAAAAAAAGAAAGAAAAGAAAAACAACTTTTTTCTCCTATCATTTCTAAACACAAGTCAAACATTTATCTGCCTACATTGTAACAACATGGAGTTGACTAAAATCTCAAGATTGCTTCCTAGGATCACCACCCTTACTCTTCAAAGACTGAATCTCAAAGAAGCTGAAAGCACCAGTTACCCCAGCAGCATACAAAAACACTTACCCATCAGCGTTATAAGCTTATTCTTCAGCTGTGTGTCTAACCGTGCAATCATCATCTCCACTGCATTCCTAATTTCCCGAACACGCTCATCTTTTGCATTTCTTACAGCTTCTACATTCCTTTCCTAGAAGATAAACAGGTCAGAATAATTTTAACTGGATAAATTTTAAAAACAGAAGCACCACATTATAACATTGCCAAGAATAGATAACAGGAAAATGGTAGGCCAAATGGAAATGACTCAACTTGCTTATATTTCAAAATGGCATACATGCAATCAAAATCACAAATTTTCTGCATAAAGAATGTTATAAATGATCACTTCGTTCTTGATTCCTAAAGGTGTAAAACAAAGAAGGCATCTGCTTTTAAGTTTGGATATGGTCCACAAACTTCATTTTAAGTTAGGAAATGGTCCATAAACCTCATTTATGACTGTCATTCTGCCAACCTGAAACAAAATATATTCTAAAAATATACTTATAATTTCATTCTTCGGGGCTTATCACGTTTTTTCGCAGAAATAATATTATAAATAGCCCACTAAAGCTGTTTGATTTATACAGTATCTAAAGAGTAATGTTAAATATTACACTTCCAACTCTGTGGAGTTCTAAATCAGCACATGACAAACAGTTCACTCCTTAGTAAAAGAAACTCACCCAAAAGCTGGGGATCCAAAGAATATATAATTTAATGAATGACTATAAAAGTCAGTATTGATTCTGTTTAGAAGTCAATTATTGGAGCTGGGCACAGTGGCTCACGCCTGTAAGCTCAGCAATTTGGGAGGCTGAGGTAGACGAATCACCAGAGGTCAGGGGGTCAAGACAAGCCTGGCCAACATGGTGAAACCCTGTCTCTACTAAAAATACAAAAAATTAGTTGGGCATCGTGGCGGGTGCCTGTAATCCCAGCTACTCGGGAGGCTGGGGCAGGAGAATCGCTTGAACCCGGGAGGCAAAGGTTGCAGCAAGTTGAAATCGAACCATTGCACTACAGCCTGGGCAACAAGAGCGAAATTCTGTCTCAAAAAAAAAAAAAAATAGCCGGGCGCGGTGGCTCAAGCCTGAAATCCCAGCACTTTGGGAGGCCGAGGCGAGTGGATCACGAGGGCAAGAGATCGAGACCATCCTGGTCAACATGGTGAAACCCCATCTCTACCAAAAATACAAAAAATTAGCTGGGCATGGTGGTGCGTGCCTGTAATCCCAGCTACTCAGGAGGCTGAGGCAGGAGAATTGCCTGAACCCAAGAGGCGGAGGTTGCAGTGAGCAAAGATCACACCATTGCACTCCAGCCTGGGTAACATGAGTGAAACGCCGTCTCAAAAATAAAAAAAAAAATAAATAAATAAAAAGAATTATTGACTCTGTAACAAATAGACTTTTAAAACTCACTAACTGATTTTCTAATTCTGCCTAAGTGGTAATTCTCCGACTGCAACTGCTTCCTTACAGACCAGGGGCTTTGTATGCATATTCCTTAGCTAATCTGAAATTTATGGAATTTAACTGTAGGTGCAGCCTATCAAATTTGCAAATCTTGAAAATCTTGATTTCAACATATGATTAATTTGTATTATAAAAATATATTATTACATATTACAGATTAAAAACAAAGTAACTGTATTTTAGTAGTAGTCTTACCACTTCTTGAACTAAGCTAATCAGTTCCATGAGACGCCGACGAAGTTTGGCTACCTCTTCATTCACTTTAGTGACATGCTGCTCATAAATTTCTGCCAAAGGTTTAAAGGTATGTCCGCCATGCTATTTAAATTAGAGTAGTTTTAGAACAGTTTCACATCTCTCATCAGCATTTACATTCCTTTGTAACACTCTATGGACACTAATAAACCAGTAAATATTTCAAATGAATTTCATCTTTTTAGCTAACTTAATTTTGAAGCAGGCCAGTGCCTGCTTAAAATCATTTGGTTCATGTAGGAACTCTTTCAAGACTGTAAATAAAGGGCTTTAGCAAAATATTCATTTAACTAGAAATTAACGTTATTAAAAAGAAACAAAATCTTTAACCACAGCCCAAATCATCTGCTACAACCTTATCAGCCACTCACTCTTCTCTCAGGTTACACTAGTCTTTTTCCATGTCCTCAAACTTCTTTCCACCAAGCCTTCACAAAAATTACTCCCTCTTATTAAAAAATAATTCTCAGCCAGCTGCGGTGGCTCATGCCTGTAATCCCAGTACTTTAGGAGGCTGAGGAGGGAAGATCACTTGAATCCAGGAATTCAAGACTGGCCTGGCCAATATGGCACAAACCCATCTCTACTAAAATACAAAAATTAGCCAGGCGTGGCAGCACACACCTGTAATCCCAGCTACTCAGGAGGCTGAGACATAAGAATTGCCTGAACCCGGGAGGCAGAGCTTTCCGTGATCTGTGATCACGCCACTGTACTCCAGCCTGGGTGATGGAAAGAGACCCTGTTCCAAAAAAAGAATAATATTTTTTAAAAAAGAAAAACAACAACAACACAACAAAATAATAAAAATAATGCCAGGTGCGGTGGCTCACACCTGTAATCCTAGCACTTTAGAAAGCTAAGGCGGGTGGATCACCTGAGGTCAGAAGTCTGAGACCAGCCTGGCCAACATGGCAAAACCCCATCTCCACTGAAAAATACAAAAATTAGCTGGGCATCATAGTGCATGCCTGTAATCTCAGCTACTCGGGAGGCTGAGGCAGGAGAATTGCTTGAACCCAGGAGGTGGAGGTTGCAGTGAGCTGAGATCGCCACTGCACTCCAGCCTGGGCTACTAATCCCAGCTACTCGAAGGCTGAGGCAGAAGAATCGCTTGAACCTGGTAGGCAGAGGTTGCAGCGAGCCAAGATCATACCACTGCACTCCAGCCTGAGCAACAGAGCAAGAGTCCGTCTCAAAAAACAAAACAAAACAATAATAATAATTCTCCATCTTCCCTCTCCCATCTTGGTTTGTCTTAATCCTACTCATCCTTTGAAGCTTAGCTCAGATTTACAGGATCAGCTACCATAGTTCTGCATCCTCGTCAACTCTCTGTATTTATTCCTGTAACTTATTATCCCAATTAAATATGTAATTGTTTGATATGTTCATTAGCAAATCCCTAGTCTCTACCACAGTATGAATGTACCACAAATCCCTAGTCTCTACCACAGAATGAATTAGAAAAAATTAGCAAAAGCAATGAACCCATTTCCCATCCCACAGTTACTACAGAGATAGAACGCTGATACAAGCTAGCCTCACAGATCCAGTTGCATTCAGCTAATTTTTATAGCTAACTATCTAAAAATAATTTTCTTGATTGGTAACCAGAATCATTAAATTTTTATTATAAGAAGCCTCCTATATTTGCAGTAGCTTTGAAAGATAAAAGGAAAAAAAAAAAGAAGCCTCCTATAAACATCTAAGTTCTTACTAAAATTGTCTTATTTAGCCAAAGCATCCCACTATTATCTCCAAAAGAAAAAAGATGTAGATTTGTACATGTTCACTTTAAGTATACAAAAAAATGTTTCTACTGTCTTATAAAACCTATATATTTAAAGTATTAAATGTGATAACTTCTTATTTTTTTCTAGTCAGCACATTAATATTCAAATTCTAACAGACAGCTCTCTGAATTGAGCTCTACTCAATCTGGCCTGTCACTCTCTGTAAAACATACTGACTGATGTCCTCAGAATGATCAATTTTCATGGCAACTCTAGATGCCTACCCACTTGCATTTCCCCCATCACTTATTTTTCCTCACTAAGAATCTATGGTGTTTATTCTCAACTTATTTATGTCAATGGTACTTATTACTATAAGGATATCATTTGATTAAGTATTCAGTAAACAACAGAACATGACTTTAAAATAAAAAAGCTGCTTCTAACAAAACTGATTTTAATGCTTCAGACTTGATGGGAGATTGTCTTTAAAAACTGCTCTTGAATTTGATGGGAAAAAAGAATCTAAAAAATAAAAAATGATTATAAGATCCAGATATGTTCACTCATGTTGTTTCAAAAGTGTCTAAGTTCTTACTCCATTGGAAATCCTGGCCCCTACATCTATCTGATCAACTGACCTTTAAATTTAAAAATGACCTGGATCCTACAACAAAAAGATTTGCAAATGAAGAGAGGATATGTTTTATCAGTGTTAGAGGTTAAAATATTTATGTAAGGGGTTCATGGCCTACATCAAACCACACAAATAAGATTCTTCTGGAATAAAAGTGCAACACCTTTAATAAAGCATCTATAAAGCAGATGCATTTTAATTTTAATCCTACGAGAGCATAACAACACTATTTCCTATCTGAATAAAACAAGTATTTCAGTGCCTTCCAGTCTCTAACTAAAAAAATACATACTGAATTTGTTCTGCTCACCATTCCTCCCCAAAGTGCACACTGATGGCAGATACACTTCTTACAAGTCCAGCAAAACACACTAAGTTTTTCATGGTGATTTTCACATCTATACAATATGAAAAGAAAATAAAGTTATAAATTAAATAAAATTTACCTCCATAAATTCTTAAGGTTGGGCAAAGAGATCAATTTTAAATGATTATGTCTCAAGAAGCACAGTATAAAATCTACTCCATGGCTTCTGTAAAGTAAGCTAAAGAAGTTTATGTGGACAATTCTTTTTAAAGTACTGTTTTCATTAATCTGGACTTTATAATCACATGTAAAATACACATTTGCTTCTCAAAAACAGCACATATGTTGCACCATTTCCAAGCAACACTACAGATTATATATTCTATTGTACTACTACATTTTGAGCAAGTACTTAATAATCACATTGATTACGCATCTCTACTGACATAAGCATGCACAAATACTTTTCCCACATGTGGTCAATGATAAATAATCCAGGTCAGGCACAGTGGCTCACGCCTGTAATCCCAACACTTTGGAGGATCGAGGTGGTGGATCATGATGTCAGTAGTTCCAAACCAGCCTGACCAACATGGTGAAACCTTGTCTCTACTAAAAATACAAAAATTAGCTGGGTGTCATGACATGTGCCTGTAATCCCAGCTGCTCAGAAGGCTAAGGCAGAAGATCTGCTTGAACTCGGGAGGTGGAGGTTGCAGTGAGCAGAGATTGTGCCACTACACTCCAGCCTAGGCAATAGAGCCATCNTTTTTTTTTAAGAGACGCGGTCTCATTCTATCACCCAGGGTGGGATGTAGTGGCATGATCATGGTTTACTGTAGCATTGACCTCCTGGGCTCAAGTAATCCACCTGCCTCAGCCTCCCAAGTGGCTGAGATTACAGCAGAACACCACCAAACCCAACTAATTTTAAAATTTTTTGTAAAGACAGGAATCTCACTATATTGCTCAAGCTGGTCTTGAACTTCTGGCCTCCAATGATCCTCTAACCTTAGCCTCCTAGAGTACTGGGATTGTAGGTATGAGCCACCACCTGGCCCCATAACACTATTAAAACTAAAAAAAGCCAGGCACAGTGGCTCACGCCTGTAATCCCAGCACTTTGGGAGGCCAAGGCGGGTGGATCACGAGGTCAAGAGATTGACACCATCCTGGTCAACATGGTGAAACCCCGTCTCTACTAAAGCTACAAAAAATTAGCTGGGCATGGTGGTGCGTGCCTGTAATCCCAGCTACTCAGGAGGCTAAGGCAGGAGAATTGCTTGAACTCGGGAGGTGGAGGTTGCAGTGAGCAGAGATTGTGCCACTACACTCCAGCCTAGGCAATAGAGCCATCTCAAAAAAAAAAAACAAAAACAAAAAACAAAACCAATAATCAAGACACATGATTAATTGCACAATTCAAGACTAGACCCTCATGAAAAATGAACAACTCAATTTTAAACTTTCTCTTAAACTGGATATTCACATGAAAAAAGACTCTGTTATGGATTGACTATGTACCCCCCTCAAATTCATAGGTTAAAACCTTAATCCCCAGTGTGAATGTATCTGGAGACAGAGCCTTTAAAGAGGTAATTAAAGTTAAGTAAGGATCACAAGGGCGGGACCCACATCCAACAGTACTAGTGTCCTTTACAAGAGGAAGAGACGCCAGGCGTGCATGTACACATAGCAAAGATCATGTGAGGACAGAGCTAGGTGGTGGCCATCTATAAGTCAAGGAGAAAGAGCGGCCTCACCAGAAACCAACATTGCCAGCATCTTAATCTTGGACTTATACCTGTAAGAACTGTGAGAAAATAAGCTTTTTTTTTTTTTTTTTGAGAGACAGTCTTGTTTCATCACCAGTCGCCAGTCTGGAGTGCAGAGGTGCGATTTTGGCTCACTACAACCTCCGCCTCCTAGGTTCAAGCAATTCTCCTGCCTCAGCCTCCCGAGTATCTGGGACTACAGGCGCGTGCCACCACACCCAGCTAATTTTTGTATTTTAAGTAGAGACAGGGTTTCTCCATGTTGGCCAGGCTGGTCTCGATCTCGACCTCATGATCCACCCACCTCAGTCTCCCGAAGTGCTGGGATTACAGGTGTGAGCCACTGTGCCCGGACTATAAATTTCTATTGTTTAAGCTACCAAGTTAGCAGTATTGTTATGGAAGACCTAGCAGACTAATACAGACCCTTACTTTACACCATATACACTAAATAAACTACAGGCTGGATGCGGTGGTGGCTCATGCCTGTAATCCTACCACTTTGGGAGGCCGAGGTGGGTGGATCACTTGAGGCCAGGAGTTTGAGACCCGCCTGGCCAACAGAATGAAACTCCATCTCTACTAGAAATACAAAAAATTAGCTGGGCGTGATGGTACATTCCTATAATTCCAGCTACTCAGAAGGCTGAGCCACAAGAAATCGCTTCAATCCAAAGAGACAGAGGTTGCAGTGAGCTGATAATTGCGCCACTGCACTCCAGCCTGGATGACAAAGCAAGAATCTGCCTCAAAAAAAAAAGAAAAATAAATTGGCCAG